AAGAAATGGATGAATTAAAAATATATTAAAGAAGTTGTTTTAAAGTGAAAAGAAAGAAACTGAATAACTTGCAGAAAAAGGTGCAAACTAAGAGACAATTTCAATTATAAGTTTGTTTACTTTTTCAGCACTCTCGAGTTTCTTTACAATGGAAATTTATAAAGTTCTAAATTAATTCAGCAAACTATTTTCATTTGAATATCTAGTATTAAAATATTACATTTTGAATTACTTAAGGAGTAAATCCTTTGTATTACGTTTGTTTTTTATTTTACTTTAAAAAAATACATTGTCTTTATGATTAAATTCTTACATACCTTAGATTTGGCAGCAGTTCAATTAAAAAAAAAGAAAAGACTGTCACTAGCTAGCTGTAAATTAATATTTCTAATAGCTGTTGGATGGCCAGTTTTAATTTTTCTAAATAATTTTCAAGTAAGTAATACAGACCAGAATTATTCATTTCAAATAAAAAAAATTAAGACATGTTCAGAAAAAAATGCATTGAAATATAAAAAGCTGTACTATTAAAGGCCGCTACTGGTTTTATAAAAAAAAAGATAGCATATTTGAATATAAAACAAATTTAAAAAGCAAAATGTAAACATTTCAACATTTAAATGTATTGAGTTAAGTTCAACGTAGCAGACTTTTACATATAATTAAAGGCAAGTAAGCATTTCTTTGTACAGATTAATGCAACACAGAGATTTTGAAACAGCAAAATGTAGTTTATTTAGATTTTGCAATAACTATTTCACCTATGTAACTGGGAATAACAGCATATAAATTTGACTATAAGATTATAAATCTGAGAAATGGACTCAAAAATGCATTTAATATTTTAGCAACAAACCTATTTTTTAAATTAAAATCATACAAAACGTTATTAGAAATTTTCCTTATATGTGGCTTGTAAGTTTTCTCGTATGTCTTTTGTTTCCTAGTTTTCAGTGACATTAATGGAAATGTTTTCTCTACTATTAAGGTACTCTGTGTCGACCGCAAATAGGTTCATGTATATCAACTGGTGCGAGTTATGTTAGCGCTCTATCAAATGACTTCTTTGACGTTTGACTTTCCATCACGACAGACTTTTACTTACGGCTACGCTTTTTATTTGGCTCTTACTTGAAAAGTTTTGCTTAAGCTAGCTACATACAGTTCTATCTGATAGTTTTCTGAACATTCAAATCGTTCAGATAGTAAAACTGATGTGTAGTGGGGTTTATGTTTTCAGTTTATGCGATTGTTGCATCAATTGTCAAAGATGCTAGTTTTTCTTAACAAACGATACACAGTGGAAGATAAAAAATCGAACACCTCGCTTTAAAATCAGTCCTGTCTTTCAGGTAACAAGATCAAGGAATACAAAAAAAAAACTTGCACACAAACATTATCATCGGAAGGTCTTTGTTTTTATAAGTCGGCACAGTTTGTACTATTCCATACATCTCTATCAGACGTCATATCTGAATCCACTGCCTTAGAAATATACTCTTTCACACAATCCATACTTTAAAATATTAGAGACTGTTAAATACAAAATGAACATCGAATGAAAAAGAAATCTTTTAATTTGTAAAGTTAGTATTGAACAAAGGATTTTTTTCATCGCAAAAGTCGAACAGAGCATAATTATCAAACAATCGATAGCAAACTTTTTCGCAATCAAATTTTAGACGTTTTGTAGAAAATCATTGAAGCGTAATGCGTTTAATTTTGAATATCTCATTTTAAGGTTTATTAATTGATTTTACTGTAGTTTATAATGATAGAGAATTGTTGTTTTGTTTTTGTTTGAAACAGTAATTTAGATGTGTCTTAAAAATTAATTAAGTGTAGAGATACTTAGTATATCTTACTAATTATAAATACGAATATTAGTTGGATGGATGTTAAAATTTGTTGCCAAAACTTCTACACGAAACTCGATGAAATAAGACATCAATGTAGTGCATATTTTGGATGAATACATAAGCTACTAACTTTTCATTTCGGGCGAAAGCTAGCACAGTAAATTAAAAAAAAATACTAATGTACCTAGTTCGATTACAAACTGACAAAGTCAACAATCGTTCCGTGACATAATACGAATAGAATCATTTACCAGAGATATTAAAATTAACAGCCTATTCATTGTGTTATTTCTTTGCATAAAATTAATTAAGATATTTTTCACGAGTTAATAAACAAGAGAACATCAGTTGCTACTCAATAATGAACAAAGAAGTAGTTTGTTACAGTCAAAGAGCTGTTATTATAGAAGTGTTCAAAGTTTCACGAAGGCGTAATTAACCTCAGCAAAAAATTTGGCAATACGCAAGTCACGGCTTTTTACTTCCCGGGCATCGCTCTTTGCGCATGCCTAGAACAGCATCTTTTACGTGTGGTGCAAGTTATAAAAGATATTACATATTTCCGTTAATTATTTTTTTATATTCTTTAGTTAGTAAATTATGTAGCACTGTGTTTAAGTTAGTTCAATGGCGGTTAATTATGGAATATTTTAATATGACAATTCTTTGTTTTGTTGATTAAGCCATCCTTAAAAAAAAATCCGTAAAGTAAGTAAAGGCAGATAAAAAAATGCAGCCACCTAAAACTGTACGGGCACTTGATTTATGTAAAGCCAAACTGTAAACTACCCGTTTTGGCGGTTTCATACAGCATTTTCATTTCATTAGTGAATTTAAGCGCTGTGACGTCAAAATTGTCGGATCTCGTGTAATTTTTTTTAATTTAATTTATTTATTTAACTCATGTTAGATAAATCACACATAAATATATTTACAATTAATAAAAAAAAACACTATATCTACTTAAATAATGACCTAATGAAGGCTACGTGTGCGCGCAATAATGAACGTGTGAATTCGCTTACGCTTATGACTTAATCTATAACTGAAGTGGTTGAACCGTGAGAACTGGGCGCTAAAGAGAGACAGCAATACTCTTTTGTTGTTACTGTTGGAAATGTAATATCTCAGTTTTTCAGAAACGGTTGTATTTATATTTATATCAATGATTTTACCATCGCCATTTTATCTACTCGTAACTTCCGTTTCAGTGGACGTTACATGACAATGTCACAGAAATAAACCTTGTAAAAGTCTACGAAATATAATAAAGAAAGCGTTTTATCTTAACTGTAATAAATAACGTTATTTCTTACATAACAAGGTCATGGGCGTTTAGTTTTCTGAGGATGGAATTTCATGATAATTATCGACTTAAAAAAGTAAATCCACTACAATTTATGGTTGACAAGCCTTCGCCCTCGACTGGACGGAGTATAATAAAAAGAAAACAAAAGTGAGTGGTCTATATGTTCTTCCAGACTATCCTCTACATCTATACCAAATTTCATCGAAATCCGTTAAGCCGTTTAGACTACAAACTCTAACAAACGTCCATTTATCCATCCATCCATCTAAACTCTAACATTTATAATATTAGTATGATTGGTCATTGAAATAAAACTATAGTTAAAATATTTTTGAACGATCTGCTATCGACATTACATTCGACTTCAAATTTGTATATTTTTTATTAAATATGTATTGATAGTAAGAGGTTATAACTTTTATATCAATTACTTATAAGCATTGTTTACATTTTATCTTACAAAACTAACAACTAACACTTTCTCTCGTTATAAGGCTGTAGATAAAATAATGAAGAATCGCCCGGAAGCTTTTCCACTCTTGGCCCCAAGTTTCCTTTAGTGAGGATAATTTTCGCTCGCTCGCTTACACAAAAACTGGATGAGATTTATTGGGCCGGCAGTTTGTTCACTAAATGTTCTTGCGAGTAATAATGGATTTATATTTAAAGCAAGCTATGCTTTAACTTAACTACTTTGTTTTATCTTAATTAAAATGTTGATCTAAGTGCTTGAAAGTAATACAACTTGTTACGTCAGATAAATGTTTTAAAGTGATTGCAAGTGAATGTAAAAAAAAAATCCAAGATATAATCAATGTTTAATCATTTTTAAATTGTGAAATGTGTTTTAGATAATGTTTGTACAATTAAAAAATTAGAAAATTCCTTTTTATAGTTCTATATTATGCCTATTTTATCAATCTTAAATTAGAAATAGAATTGAACTTTGTGAGAGAGTACAAAAAATAAATTTATCGGCCTCTCAATAATGGTTCATTTGATGGATACGTGTATCGGTAAAGCAAATGAATTAAAAGCAGTAGGTAAGAGACAAAAATGCAATTAGATAGATTACAAGGCAAGTCCATATGTAGTTATTACCCGCATTTATAATTACCTAATACTAGTTGTTGCTCGCGAATTCGCGTGGAATTAAAAAAAAAAACAGTGAAAACCTAACGTAGCTTTTTAATGAGAAAAGATTTTTTAATCAGACCAATAGTTTTGAATTATTTCAGTACATACAAAAATGTAAATCTTTCCTCTTTATAATATTAGTGTAGATATAAATAACATAATAAATATCAAGGAAATATTTTTTTCGTTTCATAAATAAATGAAATAAAAATAAAAAAGCCTTTTATTTCCAGCTACTTAGTAATTGTAATTAATGATACATTACAATGTTTATTTTAATTGACTACTTAGACATTACAAATTTTTAAACTAACAGGGTGTTTTTCTTTTTTTTATGTCTTGGACGTTGCGGGTTTCGTTTCATAATGTTTTATAATTAACTTACAGTTAAACAAAATAATATACGGTTAACACTCACGTCTATTTTTCAGGTGACGTCACCGATCAGTTACAGATCCATTTGAGGTTCATCTTCAGGTCTAACGTTACTTGGCTTCCATCGGTCCCGTCGCACCTCACACTGACAACCAAGAAAAAGTCAATGTTTCAAGAAAGTTTATACAATTTAGTCTATTGTTAGGTTTTTCCGTAAATTTAAACCACTAATTGACAAACTTAAAGTTCAAGTTATCGATTAATAGTTTTCGAACAGTAAAAGCAGTTTTAAGTAAAGTAAGTTAACGTAATTATTATTAGAAACGTGCCTTTATTTAAGCAATTAAACTAATTCTATACTTTTACCTTTGTTATAATGGTGTTAATAATCTCGGTGGTGAATGTATAAATTTTAGGTTAATTTCAAGCCAGAAGTAATAAACAAAATTTTAATTAGATTTAGGCAATAAATTTTGGCAACATTAAGTACCCTGCCTAAGTGCAATAAAAAGTTGTGAGAAATAACATAATTAAAATTATTTATGTTTCTTAATCAACCTGTCTGATTTACATTCGGGTATAAATATCGTTATAAAAAGGCTACATAGAGTTTGTTAAGGACTGTAAGAATCTAACCGTGGGTTTCCACGCTGTAAGACCTATACAGAAATGTATCTCATCTCTCTCGTGTTCGGAAAAAAATAGAGATAAACGATGGTACATTGACAGTAGAAACCCACAGTTTTTAGTTGTCACATAAAGTTTACAAGATTATGGTTTTAAGACTCGTTAAGTTCTTGCATCTTATTAAGTCATATAGTTAAGTACGCGGTATTTTAATCTAACTTGCGCGATTTTGTAAATTATAAAAATATCTTTTATGATACAATAGATTGATATGAAGAAGTTTTGCCTTTAATTTAGCCATAAAAATAAAAATCGTATAACCGTTTTGATTTTTATTTAATTTCGTCCTTTGTGACGTATATTGGAATAATAATATTTCATGAATTTAATATAAAAGATGATTTAACATTGCGCTTGTGTTATAGAGACGGAGCGCGGAGAGGGGTGGGGTCTACGGCAGTCGTAGCGCGTTCGTAGCCCGTAGCGCTCGCTACGGTGCGCTGTCACGTTTGAAATTTACGCCTGTAAGCCGCTGATGTATATGTTGACAGAATAAAACGATGCAATATACTGTGGGATAAGTGTATGTGAGATACATATCAGTGATAGTGATGTGTGTTTATTCGTGAAATATTTTATTACAAGGTAATAATTTTCATACAAAAAGATTTCTTTCGTGTTTTTTTCCTTTAAGCCTTGTCCTTGTATTTTTATTGGCGCAATAAACTCGATTTTGGACGGACTTTTATGTCATAAATCTTTTAATTAGCTCGCAATAAAACACGTTCGCGGCGTTGAGTGGAGATCTCTGTTACGGTACATAAAACTGTACGCCCCGTACACATGTTTTGGAACGATACATCAAAAGTAAGAGCTGAATAAATATAAATTTTTAACACCGTTTTATATAGTATTTAACAAATGAATAAACGTTAAATCTTATAAATACCAACACCGTAGAAAGTAAAATAGAAATTAGTGTATAATTTTTTGTAAATAACGGTTTCTTTTAGACGATTATTTATATTATTATTCTTGATTCAAATATATAATGCATTTACATATTAAAGGGTTTCAAAAATATACAATTGTTGGTTGTATTAATTAAAATGGTTACTTTGTAAAAACAGAAATATCTTATAAATTATTAGTAACCTACATATATTTTAATATTTAGATAAGAACTGAAGCTTAAAAAAATTAAATCACTTAATTGAATAATCGATAAATGAAAGACGATAAAGAGACCTCTACCTGACAATTATTTAAATCGAAAACATTAATACAAACGAAGTAATAAAAATAAATCGTCACGCTTCATTAAAAACACTTCTATTTTTACAGCTTTTAGTAAAAAATTCACAATTTCAATTTATATTTCTTAAAGGTAGTCTTTGAGCATCTTATTCCACTTGAGTTGAAATGATATTTTCTTAAGGTATTTCTAGAATTTGAAGTATATTTTTTAAATATTAAATGGCTAACTGCGGGAGACGACTGACACTGGCTGATGTTCACTAAAGTACTAAGGGATTTTTAAGATAGTAATGCTTTAATTATGTTTTTAAATACGTGACTTATGTGTGTCAAGTTATGTGCTCGTAAATTATCAATTTATTTATCTCGTATTAGGGTCGAGTGCTAGTTATACATTTGTATGAGTACTGAAGCAGTGAATGATCTGAGTTCGAATATTCCGACAATATTTGTAGATTTAATCAGAAGTTTTTTTAGATCAACTGAGTGATAGTATATTTACTTAGACTCATAAAAGTATTCTATTAATCTTCACAATTTACTTGTGAATTGAGTATTCTTTGTCGATGTAATTGGTGATCATTACTTTCATGCCATTTTATTTAATTCTTAAGAAATAAATTACAATGAAAGTATGGGAATAAGTATGATCAGCAAAAATGTATATTTTTAAATTAATTAATAGTTTAAAAAAAGTAATATAACAAACAAATTTAGTCGTATCTAGATCTAAATTTATCACGGACGTAGGTGTTCCTACTTTTTGTTTGTAGAAGTTTTGTAATGTTTTCGTATTGCGACTTGAAGAAATTTATTTAAGCTTCCGATGGACAAATTAATTTTGAGTTATTAAAAAGTTAATTGGAAGTCAAAAGTAAGCTAGGATAGTACAGAATAATGATTATAATTTTTTTTGATTTAAAGTATTCGACTCTTTGTGTGATATTTCTTTAATTTTTGAAATTAATTCGATACGTAGATTGTAGACACGATAGAGATTAAGTCTTGTAGATATAAAAGAGAAAGTTTTGCAGATACATATAGTGTAATTTAAATAGTTTTAGTATACGAATTCTACGTAATTTTAATTAATAGTCCGCATTTGTCATTCGGAATCATTAATCAGTGAAACGTATCATATCTTAATGATTATTGTACAGTTAATGCCCAACTATTGGCAATAATTCATTCGTCCGTAACTGCGATTGTATGCCTGCGTTAATTATGGACTAATTTTACTTCAAAACGTGACCAGAAATTGGAATGAATTGAAGGTATTTAGTAAAATTTATTGTACCAATTTATTTTGTTAATTCCAGCTTTTGGCTACGTACTATGTTTATTTATAAACCAGAGATCCGTACTAGCTTTTCCTGGTATTATACGTCGTTTTCTGTTATAATCATACACTTTCCGTTGATATTATACAGCCTATGTTTTAGTAATAATACAGATTTCTAATGGTGACACATTTTTTTAAAATCGTTTCAGTAGTTTTGAAACCTATTTAATACAAACGGATAATTAATATTTAAAAGATAAAGAAGATATATTCAACGAATTATTTGTAGATGTATTTAATTACATAATTAACTTTATAACTATTTTTTGATGCAAAAAATAATTGTGAAAAAAACACTTCCTATAATTTTAAATAACAATAGTCATTAAGAATTGTAAAAATTTGAAAAACATCAGATAGATTTTTTTTGTGTTGTCTTATCTTTGCATTTATTTCAATATTGCAAAATCAACGAAGCTTATCTTTCAATTCCAGTCGCAAGAAAATTGTGGCTTGAAATTCATTCAAGCCTTACTTCTCTTGTCTATTCTAATGTTATCTCTCAAGTCTATTATTTCAAATTGTTTTGTTTTATCAAACTTTCATATAATTTCTGGACAATTCGTTATTAATAGACACCATACAAAAGTCCATAATCATTATAGGATATAGGGTATATTATTAATAGTAACATAGAGGCGACCAAACAACCGTTCGGGTCCCTTAATAACAACTCTAATTCTCATAACACAAACTGTAAACAAGGAATTGAATAATTGTATCCCTTTAATAAATTCAGATTTTGATAGTCGCTATTTTGGTAGGAAAATTAGTTGTTCAAGTTTGGACTATTCCATTACTTCATATTAAAAACTCCAATAGGATAAGAACAGTCGCACATCTTTGGACAACCTATCGCCAAACATTTTTGCGATTGTCGATTGTTTCGCAGCCCATTCAACTGTTTAGTTGCACAACTAAAAATCGAGTGTGCGCACCTACATATAAGCTTATAGGAATCAAAGCGCGACTAAACAGTTGTGCGATGGTTTAGTTAAAATTGTAGGCGCGTTCTAATAGTTAGTGACATTACAGTAGTATATATATATATACTACAGACCCACGAGTGTTAGGATGCACATCACCAGCTCACTATACGTCCTCACCGAGGGGCTCGGAGCTTACCCGAAATTAGGGTGACTGCGCACTGTTAGGATGGCAGTGCCTTAAATCCTTAGGCAATTAGTGCTTCTATTTTTTTGGTCTACGTTTGTTTTGATACTCTATCATTTTTGTTAAGATACATTTTTCTAAAATATTACAATAGTAAGCCAACTTATTAAATTGAATTAAATAAGTTAAATTAAACATGAAGACAATGGCTTAACTTTTAAAACCATCAAGAAATCCTTTGTTTAGGTCCAAATTAATTATTTTGATTAACTCAAAGACAATAATCCTTTTAGGGTTGATTTTGTTTGTACTTCTCTGTAATGTAGGGGTGTCATTGAATCCCATCCTCGTCGCCAATGGGTGTTATTGAAACGGCGGTTGGTACTGGACTGATTTATTATGCGTCAGCGGCCGGTACATTATATTGAGATACCCTCATATATACCACATTCTCTAATTTCGCTTTGATACCTATGACGTTAGAGGTGCGCACACTATTCGATTTTTAGTTGTAAAACAATCGACAATCGCACAACAATTGTGCCATAGTTTAGTGAAAGGTGTGCGCTCGCTCTAATTACTGGACAGGAAGTGGTTATCAGGAATCTATGGTCACTCATTATATGACCAATTCAATAGGCGTAGAATAGAAAAGGTCGTAATATCAAGCGTCGATGGACAGAATGATAGTCGTGTACGCCAGTCCTGCCGTTCTATTGGATATCTCTGGATATTTTTTGCAACCGAATGGGTTTTTATGGTCGAGTACCCTTTTAATAAATGCTATCAGAGATGTATAAAGGGTT